TTTTTTTTGAGTTGTCTATCACTAGGGCTTTCACGAAAAAAAATATCAAGAAAGATATCCCGCCGTGTCTGATATACTTTCGATATACTTGTATGTATATTTGAAATGGCCATAATTTTTGCAAATGGCTGTATACATATACATACATATATATATATATTTGTAATTGTCGTGTCAGAATTACCGCGCAAGATTAGCTCATAGCCTTTGATTGACGGCGAAAATATAATCAAGGGAAAATATTTAATAGATAATTAAGTCGTTATATTTAATAGTTGTTAAGTCGTTCACTAACAAGCTGGCTTGGCATAACCATCCGCTGGCGAACGGTCGTTCATTAAGGTTCATATATTTTAGGTAACGAAGAAACTACTCTTTTACAAAACCATACCAAATAACGCTAAATAACGCTAACTACACCTCTTAGAAGTAGCTAGCTTATGTTTTTCCGCGCATTCAAGAAAAGAATATATGCGTGGCTATTCTTTTCGCACTTCTTGATGGTTATCTTGGTTCTACCAAATTTTAGGTCAAGAACCGCTTCAGTCTTCTCTCTCTTCATGTTAAAAACATACTGTTTATACCATTATTCAGAAATAACTAGATTTTCCTTTTTATGATATTTAGTGGGTTAAGGATTATAAAACTATTTAATATTCTTGTTCTATATACTGTAGACCCCTGGCATGCAGACTACCTGCATGAGTCCAGTCATATAGCTTGGTCAAGCTAAGCGAGTACTGCTCAGTGTACACCTGATTATAATTGTAGTTTTATCTTCTTTTCGTGACATTCGAGGGCGAATGTTCTCGAAGGGGAGAATAATATGTAGAAGGGAAAAATATAATCAAGGGAAAATATTAGGGGAAAACATTCTTGAAATAGAAACTTATTTGCTAAACCTTCTTTTTATAACAAATTTAAGTGAAACTTCCTTATTTTAATGACTTGTCAATAGACAACCTATCATTGACCAATAGTCAGTCAAATATAATGACTTGTTCATTAACCTGAGGGTCAAGGATGTTTGTTTATTGACAAGGCCTTCCAGTTTTAATTAGGAAGTACTTTTTGTAGTAAGCAACAGCTGCAGTACTTTTCCAGTAAAAACGTGTTTTCATCATGTACAACTTTGTACATGCGTACTAAAAAAGAGCAGGGCTGTTTATTGCATAAACAATCACTTCCCAAGCCTTCTTCTGATCTCTTGTTCAGAATTATCTTATTTGTGACTTGAAAATATTCTTATTATAATCTGTTCTCTATTACTTAAGCYAGCGAGCTCCATCGACCGATTTTCAGGGTCAGCTCTTAGAACTGAGTGCTCGTACATCACCTGTCTCAAGCGCTTACATCATACGTGGCCTAACTGGTTCAATCTAGTTTGACCTAGTACAAACCGCTTATGTGACGTAGTACTAGTACTAAATACGAGCTCTCTCAGGGTTAGTAGTTAGTTGCAGTTATTCTTCAGTTGTAGCAATCAATCGCAGTTGTAGTAGTCAATCGCAGTGAGTTGCAGTTGCAGTTATCCTACAGTCAGTCACAGCTAGTCAAGTCAGCATACTCTACGCTGTACAAGACAACCAAATAAAGCTATCGTGCTAAAGAGCGTCTGGTCCAGAGGAAATCTTTGTGTCCGTAGGGAAAGTATCACTCCCTCACTTCCCGACGTGACATAGCACTTTTTAACTCGTGGATACGCAAAGCGTAGAAACGAGTTCTTGTGAGGGGTCTATGCCGTGCCTGGGGGRGAGGGGGGACTCTGGGAAAAAAGTACCGGGGATGCTCGTCGGAAATGTTCAAAAAGACCCCTAAAAGATACCGAAAGTCTTTAAAAAAGGGCGTGGCTGAATAATTTTTAACCCCTAAGAGATACCACAACAAATGATATTGAATTTCATATACAAAGCGCCTAGGATAAGCCAGTATCGATGCGCGCTTCTCTCCTTTTCCGACACCCTAAGAGATACCAGAAAATAATGATTTTCAAAAATTCGCATTTAACACCCTAAAAGATAACAAATCGCGAATTTTTACCCCTAAGAGATACGACGAGCATCCCCGGTACTTTTTATCGGAGTCTTTTTAATTTTTTAATTTCAAGACTCGTAGGAGAGTCAGATTTCAAGCTCTGGAGGAATTTATTCTCATAGAGAAAGGTCAAAGTCACGGCAGTATTCAGCAAAAAACTTCTTATTAAATCGATCGAGCGAAGTTTTATTAGAACAGTTATATTTACCAAGTAACTTCTTTAAAGTGCCTATGACCTTTATAGGATTATGATCAATTTTGATTTTCTGTGTGCTGGGGATGAATAAACAAAAATTTTTTTTTCGATTGACTAAATATTCTCGGAGATATAACGCCCTAAAGTACGCAGTTTTGCCACGCCCCATCGATTTGGACGGGATAAAGGGGAACTGGGACCGAGCAGAGTCTCGCTGAGTGTGACGTCACAACAAGAACGAATGTTTTGATAAGCAAAGATTCTTTCTAGTTCTTCGGTCAGAATATGAGAAAATGCCGACTAGATGTGTTGTTGCTGGGTGCTCAAACACCCCAGATTTTACGAAAGGTATATACTTGCATAAGATACCATTTTATAACGACAATCGCCCAGAAGCAAAGTCCAGGAGGAAGCAATGGATTGATTTTGTGAAGAGAAAGCGAGCAAATTTCAACCCCTCGGCTACCTCCTTCATATGTTCTACACACTTCCTACCAGAGGATTATAATCAGAGATTTGATTTTGTCTCGAAAAATCGTCCTCAGTTAGTTAAAGATGAGGTTGGGTTTGTTGCCAGCAACCATGAAGAGTAAACCAAACTGTCGGATTGTAATCGCCGAAAGGTAAGTGTCGCTGGTCAAATCTCCAGGAATGTTTACTTGTTCGATAGTTCTAATTCTCTGATTTTATTTTTCAAACTGTTTTTATTATCTATTTTCCAAAGGTTTTAAAAGATGCCATTGCCTCCGTGTCTTCACCGAAAGAAGTTGAGTTGCCGGTGCGAGAAGTAGTCGAACAACAACAATAATTTTAATCTAATACAACATATTGGTGGCTAGTTGTAGGAAAAAACATAACATATATTTTATTTTTGTACTGAAACTGTGTCAGTAAAAGGTATTATTGAGCAAAATATTGACTAGTTTTTTTATTATTGCATGCATCTTTCGTAATACCTACAACATAGAATGATGATAATAAAGCCAAACTTATTAACCCAAGTTTACAAAACACTTCAACTTTGAGGTTACGTTTGTTTGTTGTTTTTTTTTTTTTTGGAGGATGGGTGTTAATTCAGTAAGTCCTATTTTTAAGTAACTATAAAACTGGGGCCAGCTATAAACAATGAAAGAAACTAGCATGGAACTATTTGACAGGATAAAACCCAGGTGTCATAAACTTCTTCATCAGAATATTCCTGTTCGCCGGGATATCCATGAACGGCTTCGTCTAATTCTTCGTCCTCGAGGTCGTAAATACTCTCATTCTCGTCGCTTGAATCAAAGTATTCATCAGCATTATCARTGGATTCCATCTYACAGCCTTTCTTTGACWACTGGTTAATTTCAAAGATACAAACAGGCAAATAAAGCGAGCAAAACAGGTAAAAACACTGGAAAGAACAACCAAGCTCTACTTTGTTTTACTTATTGGAAGCCGAGTCGTTCTTGTTGTGACGTCATTCGACGCCAACTAGGTACCAGACCTCGCAATCCCGTCCAAATCGATGGGRCGTGGCAAAACTGCGTACTTTAGGGCGTTATATCTCCGAGAATATTTAGTCAATCGAAAAAAAAAATTTTTGTTTATTCATCCCCAACACACAGAAAATCAAAATTGATCATAATCCTATAAAGGTCATAGGCACTTTAAGAAAACAATCAATGATGGATGTATATCGTAAAAAAAAAAAAAATAGCAAAAGACGAAATAAAGAACAATTCCATTGAAGTCTTGAAGAAATTTCGGCCAGTTTTGTCATCCAAATATTCCGTTCTGAATAAAAAGTAGATTGAACGCTGGAAATCAATTTTTGCTAAGCTCTATTTTTTTCTTGTTCTGTATTGTAAAACCAATAAAATACGTAAAAAATATATCTAACTATTCGCAAAATGCCATTTCATGCATGATTTGCCACCAATCAGTTCTTTGTACTATTGGAGGGAGGCCGAGGTTGGAGCTTCAGATAGGAGAGTCATCAGTCAAAAATTAAAAGATTTGTGGAGAGTCCATAGCTTTTTAATTTGACAAAAGCAGTTACCTTGTTGAAATAATAGGGTCATTAATTTCTTGCTGAGTGAAAGTGGCAGGGCTACAATCATTTTTTAAACGTTTTCTTCGAATCCTTTAACCCCTAAGCAACAAACAATTGGAAACCTCAGAATTCCAATTAGGTCCGTTGGTAATAACTCGCCCTATGGGTCCTATAGCGTGCTCGTGGAAACGACAAAGGAATTTACATAAGATTTAAAAAAAGGAGGATGGAAAATAATTGCATGTAAGTATTAGACTGAAGGCAATTATTTCGTGAAATATAGTACTTCACTCTATAGGGAGGAGGTGTGAGAATTCGAATTGCGTGCATTCGGCTGCTAAAAGGGGGAGGTGCCAAGCCAATGATTCTTATGCAACATCATATTGATGGGTTGCAAGCATTCCCTAGAGAGTCAAAAGACAATAACATGGCACTTCAGGACATAAGAGGCAATGTCTGTAAATCATCAAACATAATCAAAAATCGGTGGCCACGTTAAAAAAATTGGATTTTGTTTATATTTGGTCCAAAGATGTGGAATACCACCCAAATATATAAACGTACTGATGTTCATTTTGAATAATCTTATCTTTATTTTGAGAAAATCGTAAAAACCGATTTTGGCCGTCGGTGCCCTCCGTTCAACCTAAAGCCGAGGTGAAAATGGTAGGTCTGGGAAAGGCGCTCGCGTATAAAAATGAAGCAAACTAGAAAAGTTCTAGCTGTTTTTGGAATATGGTAAAGGAAATATTAATGATAATTTTAAGCTAAAATATAAATAGGGAAACGCGTTCTAATAAATGAAAAGGAACTTTTTACAAACTACATTTTTCGGGTTCTAAAATATTTAAAATTCACCCTTAGTTGGCAAAGCTCATTTTCATGTGCACCGGGTGTTCGGATTTATCTGAAATTCCAGCCATAATACCTTCGAATGTTAAGCTAAATCATATGTAAAATTCAGCTTGGGTTATTCAATGGGTGCTTTATACGAAACTCTCGAATTCAGATAAATTTGGGTTGTTTGGAAGCTTATTCCGATCAGAATTAAAAACAACTAAGATATACAAATATAAGTAAAAAAAACTATCATTATTAATATTAAAGTTGCCGCAGAAAAAAAGTAAGGAAAACGAAAAGGTTTTTGATGGAGAAATCCATGTTTTGCTAGTTTTATATAAGTAATAGTCTTTGATTGTCTGCACGCCAAGTTATTAGCTTCGTCAGTGGGAGATTTTATATAATGTAAAGTGTATCCAGAAAACCACAGAAAAGACACTTTGTTTTGTTTTTGTTTTAGTTCTCATTTACTTCAACTTATTGTACTTAGCAAAAGAATCAAAAAAGAAGGGAAAAAAAGAAGGATAGAAATAGATATGTTCACTTATGTAGTTATTCTATTCATATTAGTTATGTTTCAAATTTTTCAAGCTGTTTATG